CTTAGAATCGTTAGATCAATAAAGATCAATGGTGTCACATGCTTGTAAATCAGAGTCGTTGACCTTTTTTGATCTAACGGCTCTAAGATAAGGTGTCAAATTTAAAATTTGACACTATGTCAAAGGATCCTGCCTCATATATATATATAGGTCAAGATCATTTTACACCAGTGTAAGTTACACTCTTAATCTTGACTGTTGATTCCAATTATATCTAAGGGCTCTAGTTTTTTGATAATGTAAGTCATTGGATACAAGTGGATCAATGCTCAAGATTGAGTATAAGACTTCTAACTCTTACACCGATATACGAATATCCTGCTCATATATATATATATATATCTGGAAGCAAATTAGTTATTCAATTGATGGCCAAACAATTAATTGGCAGCTGCATGACTTTCAAAATGTTGAATGCCTTAGATTCGTCTCGGATTTAGCATAAACTAAAGGGAGTTACTAGTCTCGTGATAGATAGCTTGACCAAATTAAGTGGATGTGCATGTTTTGTTCAATGGGTTGATTAGAATTAGAGGAATTGAATAATATAAATGGGTCTTTTTGATGGAAAATTTTAATATAGTCGTCAATGGAAAGTTGAATACAGATATCAAAGAGAATATGCATAATTGCAACTGGTCTATATGTATGTGGAATTAGTTTTGAATACGATGAATGATGACAATATGTTGTTTTAATTTGATTGTATAGTTTCTCTGCTTTGCAATTTGCAAGATGGAAAAGAAATCTAAGATAGTTCATAGTTGTATAGCATACTTAAAGTAAGAACCTAACATTCCCCCGTCAAAGCTAATCAATATTTCATTGGTTAGCTAAGCATTTCAAGCAACCAATAGGGTACTTCCAGGAAGAAGCAGAAGATATATGAGTTATATAAAGTTCTGATCTTTAATCTGAAAAAGGGAAAAAGAGCAGACATGTAAGAAGCAGACTATATGCAAAATTGAAGTTAATAATTCAGTCCCAATTGTAATATATAAAATAAAGAGTTTGATTAGACCATAACTTTAATCGCTTTTGTTAGTTTCTTGTTTGATGTGGATTCAATATGCTTTATGGAGTTTGATATAAAAGACATAAAGTTTCTTGAATTTATACCGGGAATGAAGTTAACAATTCCGTTTTCTAAGTTCGTGTTTAGGATGCTTCTTTGTCAGATCGTTCTCCCACTCTAGTGATATTATTTGATGAAATATAGTTCTCCATTTCTATTTAAGTTATTTATTTATTTTGAATATTATCCATTAATTCATGAATTATTCGATCAGTCCGATTCGAATCGAGTAGGACCACGTAATCGGCAAAGATTCAAATTTATTTTATTTGAAGTTCCAAATTTTTGTTTGTTTGTTGCATCTATAGCGGGTTGAGTCAAACAACCACACTGCCACGGGCTTAAACTTGTGATGTAAGGGGGCACGTACTGCCACACTGAGCCTTTAGTAAGAATTAATCTGGCATTTGGTTTTGTTGTAATGTTGTTTTCTTTGGGAGCCACACACAGTCTCAGCATTAATGAGAGAGAAAAAGGGCCAAAAGGAAACAATGGATAGAGCCACGTCAGTTAAGTTGACTGAAATAGTCGTCACTGTATAGACCATAGAGCATATAATAGATCCGCGTTGAAAGTCCACTGTACGTGTAATGCTTGTGGCTTCCCAATTCCCATTATTCGTAAACCCAATCCCATGTTGACAAATGGCAAATACAACACCAAGCGTGCGTCAAATTAACAACATAAGTCATTCCTCTGATTTGCTCTCTAAATAAATACCCAATAGTTGAGGGGTGCCAAAATAAATTGTCGGCGCTGCCTCTCCTTTTGCTTTTTCTCCATAACCCCTACCTAAAATTCATCGCGTGCTATCTAATCACCATAATTTGCAATTGCACCACACCTAGCCAAGTTACAATTACAACTCCATCTCCTATAGAAAAAGCTCCATAACAAGTTGGCACGGTTAACATTATAATTGTAAATTTGATATTGATTAACAAGCCCTGTACGTACATGTGCTGATTTTTAAAGATTTCATTCCCCATTCCCATCTACAATACTCAACTTTAATGTCAAGGATATGGGCTGATACATGTAGTTAATTATGAATTAATGTACGTTTTTTTCTTATGGATATGGGTACGGAGTCTTTGAAAACTCTTTATTTTTGGGTTATTGGAAGGAACTTCCATTTGCTTTTTTTTTTTTTACAATAAATCACGTGTATCTTTTACGGGAGGCAATCTTATTCGGGTCGGGTATAAGATTAAGGCTTTAATCTCTTTCAAAAATAGTATTGAGAATGATCGAACACATGTATCCACCCTCACTTACTCAGTTCTCATGCACCAACTGAGTTACTATCATTTGATCCATTTGTCTGTTTTTGTAACACGATAAAGTATAAACATTAATGTGCTACAATTATTTACAAGGCTAGATACTCTACACTATCTCCAAATTAAAGAAAATTAAATATAAAACATCTTCTCTCCATCCATTTCTTACGGATTATATATATATATATATATATATATATATATATATATATATATATATATATATATATATATATATATATATATATATATATATATATATATATGAGGTAGGATCCTTTGACACTGGTGTCAAATTTTAATTTTGACACCTCATCTGAGAGCCGTTAGATAAAAAAAGATCAAAGGTGTCACATGCTTGCAAATCAGAGTCGTTATCTTTTTTGATCTAACGGCTCTCAAGTGAGGTGTCAAAATTAAAATTTGACACCGGTGTATATATATGAGGAAAGTTATACTTACAACCTATTTCCATTTACAACTTCTTATAACTTTATCTTAACCTGTTAAGAACCTTGGGATACACCACCCCAAAAGCTAGCTCAAAGGGTGAGAGTATCCAAGACCTTATAAAGGCCATATTAGCTGCCCATCCAATCAATGTGGGACTATATATCTCAACACGCCCCCTCACGCAAGAGCCCTTTAGGCTAGAAGCGTAGAATTGCACATGCCCAATTTTTGGTTTACCTTTTTGTGCTTTTTATTTTAATTCCACTTTTAAAGTGGTTTACCTTTATCATTTATTGCGAATTAATAAATTTGATTTGCGAAAATTTTAACCGTTGATTGACGAAAATAAATGGTTTAAGATATGATTGTAAAAAGTTGTAAACGAAAATAGGTTGTAAGTATAATCTTCCCCTTTATATATATATATATATATATATATATCCTAAAACAAATGCACCCTCTGCCTCTGTCTTTTGTTCTCATCAAATTTAACCTAAATCACCGGCCAACTTTCACAATATTGTATATTACACTCTTTGATCGTATAACAAATCTCTAGTTGACTGATAGATTTCCCCCTTTCACGTTTTGATTTCCAACACCCACTCTTAAAGATTTTTGGTTATCTAATGAGCATAGGTAAAAAATATATGCTCCCATGCCTAGTTTTGTTTGACGCTTTTAAAGTGAGAAATATACTTTTAAAGGAAAAAGTGAAGTGTTATTATAACCGTTAATTAAAAAATTAAGAGAGTGGATTTTAACAATTTTATATTTTATTATATATGTACATGTATTTTATTACAATCTTAGTTATTAATTTTTTAATAAATGGTTATAATTTTGTGCCTTTTTTCCTCCAAAGTGCATCCCTTACTTTAGATTAGCTAAATTCTTATTTACATATCAAGTTCCTACACTTTCCTTATTCAGAAATAAACACAATAATATTTCTAAAGCTTAAACATATTTTTTTAATGCTTATTTTCTCTCTCTTTTTTTTTCTAAAAAAGAATATGCAAAAGAATTGGTATGGAAATTAGGTATCAGAATAAAAAATGTCATGCACGTAAGAGAGAATTTTTTTTTTTGCTCGTACAAAATAGGCAATTATTTTTTTCAAACTTCAAATACTTGGGTTCGATCCATCCCGTCAATGATTCCGTACTTTCGGTCTTTATACTCCAAACAACTATTGCTAGCGAAATAAATGATTTTATACTTGGAAGTAAATCAAATAAATACAAAAGTATAAAAGCTTTTAGTTTACACAAAAATACAAAATCGTAGCAAAAGTTTCCCAAAGCATTAGTGACTCTACAAATAACTACATGTAGTTATTATCGTAGAGCGTTGCTTGTATAGAGTCTAAACCCATTGGCCATTACGAAAAAAAGTAAATAACACTACTAAATATTTGACACACTAACATGTAACTAATTATAAAACTTGAATGCTGAAAAGATACTAAATTCAATATTTACATAATAGATTAGTATACATGTGCAGCTTATATAAATATAACAAGTAATCCGCCTTAAAGTTGCATGTAAAACCATATAATACGATTTAATCCTTAAATTTGCATGTAAAACCAAATAATACGATTTAATTTGACCCTTACAAAATATAAATATTTTTGGAAGAAAGTCAGAGGACGGTATGAAATATGAATACGTAAACAGCAGCAATTGATCAGTTTGAGTGTATAGAAACAATTTTCTATATATTTGTTAACTCGTGGTAGAGGAATGAAAACTGTTTATTTAGCATATAGATTTGAAGTCAACCTCAAACAAGAGAGGGGGAAAAAAAAATAGGGTCCATTGATCATGTTAATTAATAATTTATCATTATCTCTCAACATTATTTCTTACTCTACTCACCGAGCCGCAACGCAACAGAAAAAACCCGGCCCAACTCGTGACATAATATCCAACCGACCACATAAACAAAACAAAAAAAGAAAAAGAAAAAAATTCTGCAAAATATGAAATTTTGAAGATGTTGTTGGTCAAATCCTCGCCTAACATGCCTTTTTGGTCTCCTTTAGCGCATCCATCTCTTCTTCACTTCATATAAAACTCCAGTGTGTCTTAATTTGATTTACAAAGAACCTCTGTCTCTCTCTCTCTCTCTCTGCATTTTCTTCCTTTGCCTCTGTTCTCTCTCTCTCTCTCTCTCTCTCTATGGCTTCTGTCACACACCTACCCAGCAGAACCAACATGAATCACATTACATTCTCAGAAAGCTTTCATCCAAAGTCTCATCCTTTTGGGCAAGTTTTGTTGCCCAAGAGAAATGACTTGTCTCCCTCTATACAATCAACTGTAGCTTCTGGTTTTGCATTAGGAATCAGCACCACTACTTTTGGTGTTGTGAAAGACAACAACAACACTAGAGTACTCACACCCACAACTCTATTCAATTTTTGGAGAGAGGTTCAAGGGTGCAATAACTGGGAAAATCTTTTAGACCCATTGCACCCTCTTCTTCGCCAAGAGATAATTCGCTATGGGGAATTTGTCACAGCCTCTTACAAGGCTTTTGATATTGACCCAAACTCCAAACGATACTTGAACTGCAAATATGGGAAGAAGAGTATGTTGAGAGAGGTGGGAATGGAAAATTCAGGGTATGATGTGACAAAGTACATCTATGCAACCCCTGATATCAACATTAACATTCCAATGCAAAACTCTTCTTTTTCTTCTTCTTCTTCTTCTGGTCGGTGGATTGGTTACGTGGCTGTATCATCAGATGAAGAAGTAGTCAAGAAACTTGGTCGGAGAGACATACTCATAACATTCCGTGGAACAGTTACAAGTCAAGAATGGATTTCAAACTTGATGAGCTCATTGACACCGGCCATGCTTGATCCACATAATCCAAGACCTGATGTGAAGGTGGAGTCAGGTTTTCTCTCCCTTTATACATCTGATGAAAGCTCTTCCAAATTTGGACTTGAAAGTTGCAGAGAACAGCTTCTTTCTGAGGTGTCAAGGTTGAGAAACAAATACAAAGGAGAAAGCCTCAGCATAACCTTGGCTGGTCATAGCATGGGGAGTGCCTTGGCTCTCTTGCTTGCTTATGACATAGCAGAGCTTGGATTGAACAAAATTAACCGAAAAAATGAGGTACCTCTTACTGTTTTCTCTTTTGGGGGACCAAGAGTTGGTAACTCGGAATTTAAAAAACGGTGTGAGGAATTGGGTGTTAAAGTGCTAAGAATAGCAAATGTTAATGACCCCATCACAAAACTACCTGGAGTTGTCTTCAATGAAAATTTTAGGGTTTTGGGTGGGAGATATGAGTTCCCATGGAGTTGTTCATGTTATGCTCATGTTGGAGTTGAACTAATGCTTGATTTTTTCAACGTTCAAAACCCTTCATGTGTTCATGACTTGGATAGCTATATTGGCCTTCTTAGGCGCCCTAATAATGTTGAAGTGGTGCAGCCTCAAAGGGACGGAGGAGGAGGAGGAGTAAACCATTTGTTGGAGAAGGCAAGAGAGTTTCTCTTCTTGATGAGGTCGCAAAACATAAAAATCTTGCCGGAATTATTAGCCGGAGGAGGCAACAACCACCAGGGTTTGCTGAATTCATTCTCAAGGGACATGTTATGCTCTTGGGGCGATGAACTGCTTTTTGGCCTAGTTCTTTTGTTGTTGTAATTATAGTTATATATAGTTTTAGAACTAAAAGAGATTAATTAACTAGAAGTTGTAAACTCAAGAGTAGTAAAGACTATAAATGTAAATCCTTGTAAATTGTTGGAGCTTTCATATAAACTTATAGTTTCAGAGGAGTTTCTTTTTGCACACCATGTTTCTCTAATTTGCAACATTAATTGTATATATAACGATATGCAATTTCCACATATATGTTTTGCACCAAATTTTCAGTTCATTCGTATTTTTCTTCTAACATGGAGCGAGGTACAAGATATGTGAATTGAATATATTTCCAATGTTTTTTTTTTTTAAAAAATACACATGATCATTAATACAATTAATGGGGTCATTTTAATTAAGCTTTGATTTTCTTCCCTAAACACTGATCCCCACTTTGTTGGAGGCAAGATTTAGACACGAAACAATTCCAATCATGACAAGATATATACTCAGCTTGCTAGCTAGAGGAACTGGCTGACACGTTCAAAGTCGTAATTTTATCACTTCCCTGATGTTCTGCCATGTATTTCTAGTTATTCTCATTTGCTTTTAATTTCATGCATTTGCAGTTTTTTGTTCTTATTTCACGGTATTTTTTATTTTATTTTATTTTCAGTTTACTACATATGATCTTGAAAAGATTCAAGTATCTTGTAAATCAAAGTTGTAGTTAAGGAACTTTGTAAGCGGTAAAATTTAAGTTTTATGCTATCTGTGATCCTTTAAACAAGATATATCCTATATTATCACTCGTGCTCAACGAAGTTCCCAGATATTAATTACCGATTTATTTATTTAAGTTCTGCTTGTGCACCTGTAAATAGCACTTGTGTACTTTCCGCCACGAAGGGAATTGCTTTAATTTATTGGAAAGATCTATGCCTCAAACAGTGTCAAAGTACTTGAATTTGAGTGGTTTTCTGAAAATTAATCCTAACATTACATATAAGTAGAATTCTTTCTAGGATTACTGCGAATAATTAACTTGCTTTTGGTTTGAGAAGTTGCTCGAATAAATGGTCGGAATCTGAACTACTCTACTTATTCACATGTTTCATGTGAAAAGACTTTCATGCGAGCAAGTTTTTACTACAAGGAAAATTAATTCATGGATCTGTACCGAGGCTTAAGCTCAAACTTTTAGAAAATTTATTTAAAAAAAAAAATCTATAATTTTAATTTTGGAGATATACTTGTATGCATCGAATCCGCGAATCGTATATTCGGAGTCCTGAATGTGAAAATAATTTGGTCATGATTATACATGCTGAAAAAAATTGTTGTGTTGACTTTTTTTGCGTGTAGCCGTATATTAGTCATTGTTCATAACGAATAGAAGTCCACTAACCCCTTCAATGCAGTTGACATAAATTTTTTTACTGTTTCTTTATACATTGCGTAATAACCTGTGTCATTTATTCAGTTTTGTTTTACCTCTGTTATTTAACTTACATTTACTTTTTTTTTATCAATTTGCTCTAATTTCAAATTTTAATTTTTAAATAAAGAAAATTGTAAAAGGTTGAATTTTTTAAATATTATTTTAATAAAGTCATAACTACCAATTAACAATTTAAATATATGTTTAATTTTTCAAATATTAATGAAGTCATTAGTTTGACACATAATTTAGTGTAATTTGTTTTTATTTCTCTACTCATTTATCGATTAAGCAACGAATTTGGTTCAAGCCGGACAAGACTACAAGGATGATAAATAATTAAAGCTTTCTCAATCAAGTATTTAACACAATGGCGTACCCAAAGTTTGAATTTGAGATCGATTGCCGATTAAGTTGGAACAACATTTCTAAGTTGATCTACGTATTTGGTGGTTATGTAAATTTTTTTATATTATATAAAGAAGAGGTAAGATCAACTTACAACAATGTAATAATAACAAATGTTACGGTGCTGAGATGTGGATAATCTTATATCTCAATCTTAATCTTTAATCTATTCAGATCTAAAAGTTGTAATTTATTAGTCATGTGAGCCATTAAAAACAAATGAGATCAATTATTAAAATTAAGAGTGTAATTTATACTTTCTATAAAATATTAAAGGAAGATTAAAATTAATTACAAGATGTCACAAGAACACCACGTCACCCGTGAGCTTGGCCATATAATAATTCAACCCACATAACTAGTGATTAATTTATAAATTGAGGTTTAGCTCATGGCATAACTGTTGAGATATATAGTCCCACATTGATTAGATGGGCAATTAATATGGCCTTTATAAGACCTTGGACACTCTCACCCCTTGAGCTAGCTTTTGGGGTGGTGTATCCCAAGGTTCTTAACATGGTATCAGAGCCTCACCGTCCCCCGCTTTAAAAAGTGGAATTAAAATAAAAAAAAGCACAAAAAGGTGAACCAAAAATTGGGCCTGTGCAATTCCACGCTTCTAGCCCAAAGGGCTCTTGCGTGAGGGGGCGTGTTGAGATATATAGTCCCACATTGATTGGATGGGCAACTAATATGGCCTTTATAAGACCTTGGGCACTCCCACCCCTTGAGCTAGCTTTTGGGGTGGTGTATCTCAAGGTTCTTTACAATAACCTCAAAGTCGTGATTTTTTTTGGAAATCGACAACACACAAATCGGAAACGGAAAAGAAAAAGAGAGAGAGAATAGATACGGCGATTTATCCTGTTCACCCAATTTAGGCTACGTCCAGCTTGTCTGTACTATATTCACCTCACCGCCACTCGTTACAAGTCTCTCAATTTACAAGGCAAATATAAATGGGAATACAAAACCCTAATAGCAGCTATTCATGGGCTCAAGCTCAAACTGCTAAGAAAATTACAATAAAACATAAGCCCACAACAGTACCTAGCCTCTACGGCTGATCCCGATAATTAGGGCTCTCATTAGCATGCGAAGTATGAGCCATACCCAACAATTTTCACCAGTAGCTTTATTGATACAATATATTTTTTTTTTGCACAAGTTATATATCAAACTAATAATTTATAAAATTAGTATTAAAAAAAATTAAAAGCCGTGTTTGATATTCGCGACTTTTCGAACATCATGTCTGGGAGAATCATGATTTTCTGTAATTAACATTATTTTAGAAATAAATTTAAAAGTGTACCCGATTAGTAAAATCAAAATGAAGTTGCATCATTCCGATAAAAAAATAATTTTTTTGAAATTCTATCAGGTTTTCTTAAAAAAATGTATTTGCAAATTAAGACATTTAATAAATTTTCATAAAAACTGATTAAAATATTTGTTAGCTAGACAGCTATATGTAGTAAAGGTGGTTATTAATTAAGGGAAAAGTATTTCTCCAGTCACCGGAGATAAAATTATCTCTAGTGAATCCAAAATGACGTTATTTTGAAATTATAAAATTAAAAAATATAATAAAAAAGACTAATATAACCTGTAATATATTATAATTACAAAAATACTTTTATTTCCGCCTCAAAACGATGTCGTTTTGAGCTCACTGGAGATAACTTATCTTTATTGACTGGAGAAATTCTTTACTCATTAATTAATTTAAAATAACATAAACTATGGAAAATCATATTCTCATGTTAAATGAGATTATTCTCTTATGTCACACTCTCTTTTTAAAAAAAATAAAATTAATAGCCCCACTTTATTTATCTTTTAACATAAGAGAGTTTGTCTCTTTTGGAGTTACCCAACCCTAATTATCTCTTTGAGACGAGTTGGTTCCCTCCGGTATCCCCACGAGCTTCGACTCTTTGAGCCGGCTATGGGACTAATCCGGAGTGCGGGGAACAGTGATGGCTAAAGGTTCAGCCCCCTCCCCAAGAATGCATTCAGCGGGAATCGAACACATATCCAACCCCACTAACTCAGTCCCAAATTACCAACTGAGCTGCACCCATTGGGTAGAGAGTTTGTCTCTTATTACATAAGACAAATAATTCCTATAAACTAAACTAGGAACCAATAACAATATTAGAAACTGGTTCAAATAAAAAAAATAACCATCTAGGAGAATAGCTTTTGATAGGGTTTGACTTGTAGAGCGTTACCTGGATTGCTTGGACACAGTTCACCGCACTACACCTATTAGCGGAAGAATATCCGAAGGAACACCAAATGGTGATCCTAGGTAGCGAGGGGAAGGGAAAAATATTGGTTTGATTCTTATACATTATTTTTGGGAAGAGTTTAAATATCTTTATTTCTGACCTATCTCGTACTTCGAATTAATTTCATAGTCTGTTCAAAAAATTGAAGTTTATAAGAATATCGGAGAGAGTCACTCGGCTAAAAAAGTAATTAAGATTGGATTAACTCAAAAAAAAAAAAAAAATAAAAAAAAAAAATATATATATATATATATATATATATATATATATATTCGAAGGAATTAATAGCCTAAAACTTGAGTGTTTAATTAATATTGTACTCTTATAAGAAAGGAGATCATAGATCTGCAACGATCACACAGCTGCTTCCACACAATACTCCATCTTCATGCATGTTTGAATTCTGTTTTCAAAAACAGTATTTTGATTTTTAGAAAAAATTAAAAAAATTTGTTTAATAAGATCTGTTTTGTAAAAATAATTCTAAAAGTTATAACTATTTTATAAATTTTAGAATTAAATTTAGAGAATATATCTAATTTTTATATTGTAATTTGTCTTTTAACTTTCAAAATAAAAAATATAAAAAACGCTTATTTTATTAACTATTCTACAAAATAATTTTAAGAAAAAAAAAAAAACACAATGAAACAAACCCTCCATTACTCCTTTATTCTTACGGAATATATATGTTGCAAGGAGCGGCTCTTGTGCAAGAATCAATATCCAAATTTACGTACAAAACAATATTCGCAACCTTTCAAGAAATGGGCCTCAAATTTCTCTCTTTGTTAGCTAGCTTATGCATACGATTTAATTACTTGTCTTTGTCAAAGCCATCAAAAAATTGTAATTAATTTGGAAACAATGTGGCGCGATCATTGTACTAAAAGAAAGAAAAGAAGAAGTGG